ACTGAGCTGGGATGTAGATTAGTGGTAAAGTGTTTGTGTAGCATGCATGAGGCCCTGGGTTCAATCCCCAACACTTAACAAGAGAAGACAAAAAAACCTGGAAGATAAATATAATGAACACCCATGCACCTTCCAGTCAGATTCAATAATTGTTTATTTTTTCTCCATATTTGATCTATCTGTCTGTCTGTCTATCTACCTACCTACCTCTATCAGGAGTTGGGAAATCGTGACTACAGGCCAAATTTAGCCCCTCATCTGTTAGTGTACAGCTCTGAATTAGGCAGTGTCTTAAAAAAAAATTAATTAGGGTATACTTGTTATGGGGGGGGGATTCACAGTGACAATTCCAGTTAGACTTATATCATACACTGCCCCATTGTCTCTCACCCTCACCCACTCCTTGCCCCACTTAAAGCAATTGCAAGAAGTTTCTTAATTCTGTTTCATATTGGTATATGAAGTCCATCTGCCATATACCATCACCTTAATCTCCTTAGTTCAACCTTCCCCCTCCCACTAGTACCCCCCCCCCACTGTTTTTAAAACAGCAATATTTTAACTAGCTATATGGGTATGTACAAAATATCTTTGATATTGTTTTTTGACCTGAAAAGCCTAAAAGTTTCACTCTCCGGCCTTTGCAGAAGAAATTTGCCAATCTGATCTACACACACAAACAATTCTGCCAAACCTTTTGAGAGCAAGTTGTTCACAGTGTAGCACTTCATTATGCATATCCTAAAAGTAAAGTAGTATTTTTACTTAATTGTAATACTATGACCACACCAGACAAAAAGGAACTATTGTTTCTTATCATAAAATGCCCATTAATATGCAAATATATGTGATTGTATGTACATACAAAATGAAAATGTACAACTTTAACAATGAAAGAAACATGCCTTTTAAAAATCAGATTTTTGGGCTGGGGATGTAGCTCAGCGGTACAGCATGTACCAAGAATGTGACAGGCCCTGGGTTTGATCCCTGGCACCACACACAAAATCCGATATTTATAATCTACACTTTTAGTGTTAATTTTATTTTTCAATGGATTTAAGAAAGCTGCTTTAACCAGCTGTCTCCCTGGGCATTTCAGGTTGACATTTAATGTGTTTTAGGTCAAATAGCTCATTGTTTTCTCTTTTTCTTTCTTCTCTCTCTCTTCCATCTCTTTCCTTCTCCCCCCTCCCTTCTCCTCCACCTCCTCCTCCTCCTTCACCACCTTCTCCTCCTCTTCCATCTCCTCCTCCTCCTCTTCCTCTTCCTCCTCTTCCTTTTCTTCTTCTCAACCCTATAATCAGACTCAGAGAAGATCATGAGTTTGTACCCATAGACCTTGTTTTTCTTTTCTTTTCTGTTTGCTTTTCAGTTCAAGGGTTTGAACTCAGGGTCTCATGCTCTGACACTGAGCCATGTCCCCAGGTCCTCAGACCTTGTTTTTTTGAGGCAGGGTCTTGCTATGCAGCTTAGTCTGGCCTTCAGCTCGTGATCTTCCAGCCTCTGCCTCATGGGTGCTGGGATTATAGGCATGCATCACCCAATTCTGTAGAACATTCAGTATTGTGGTGATGGTATTGTTTGCTGTAGATATTGGAGGATGGAGTAGGATACTGTATAATCTCTTTGTATTAAAAATTATTTCTAATACCTGTAGTATTTTTTCCCTTTGGTGCTGGGGCTTGACCCCTGGGCCTTACTCATGCAAAGCACATGCTTTAGTACTGAGTTACACCTCCAGCTCTCTAATAATTTCTGAAACTGGGTGATTTGTACTTCATAGCTTGTTACACTAGTCCTTGTATTTTTCTGTATCACTAAAAATTTCCAAAATGAAAGTGTACATATACATTACTATAGTAATAGACTTGACTCATGACCTACATCAACTAAGACAAATTGCATTTACAGTGTGTCAGTATCTTAAAACTTAGATGTGAAAACTGTGTGTTTGTACAGAGTTTTACATGGCAGTTAAGTCAAACAAAACATAGAAGGAAAGACTGTCTTAAAAATTTGAATGGATTTTGAGAACGGGCTACTTTATCCTTTGGGAGTCTCCTTTCTGTAAACATCCATTTTTTTTGCGGGATGTGAATCATGTGCTGGAGTCACCTGATTTAGCTGTGGTATAACTAATCTGGAAAGTTCATGGAGGCTCTGCCTTTAAAATTCCCCACCACCAATCACGATCATGGTTACATGAGGTTCGTGTCTTGAAAAGCACATCTGTGTCCCCAAGCTCTGGAATTACTTAGACCATGCAGACTGTAAGCTCATCTTTGTTCTCTGTGCACCACAATGTCATGTCTGCTTTCACCACTATCACGTGTGTGAGGAACTGACAGGCTGGGCCCTCTCCATTGTGCAGCATTGTAGAATCTGCTCTGTGCCAGAAGATCAGACACTCTTCCACCTTGCTTTGTGAAGAACTCAAGTTTAAATGTTCTAGTACATTTTTAAAAAGTGGAGATAATCTTATTGTGCTTAGTATGGAAACTTTAGTAATAGAAAACTGACAAAGAATTATAGTGAGCCTTTGAAAATTCTTGGGGTTAAAAACACAGTACTGGTCTGGGAGTTTAGCTCTGTGGCAGAACACATGCAGAGCGTGTTCTGGGCCTGGGTTCAATCCCCAACACTGAAAAAAAAACAAAAAACAAAAAAACCCACCACCACCACCAAAAATCTCCCCTGCCCCCACCAAAAAAGACCAACATGGCACAATTATATTTTTGTGTGCTGTTGTTAGTTTTGGCGGTCAACTTGATTGGATTGAGGAGTGCCCAAGAGGTTAGAAATACACACTTGGGAATGTCTGGAAGGTGTTTCCAGAGAGGGTTAACTAAGGGGGCCCCCTGCCCTGACTATGGGCAGCAACAACCCCAAGTGCTTGGGGCCCAGATGGAATAAAAGGAGAAAAGGAGAGAGCCATCTAGAATGGGTTTTCTCTCTCTCACTCTCTGCTTCTTCTTCTTCTTCTTTTGTTTTGGTGGAACTGAGGTTTGAACTCATATTTCCAAAACAATCTCTCTACCGCCTGAGCCAAACTTCCAGTCCATTTTGCTCTGGTTATTTTAGAGATGGGGTCTCTCCAACTATTTGTCTGGGATAGACTTGAACCCTGATCCTCCTGATCTCAGCCTCTGGTGCCCAGCAGATTCTGCTTCTTGACCACCATGACAATGGCTTCTCTTCTCCACCGTGACCTCCCTGCCATGATGAACTGAAACCTCTGAAACTGTGCGCAAGATAAATCTTTTCTTCTTCAAATTGTTTCCCTTGGGTATTTGGTCACAGTGATGAAAACCCAACAAGCACATTTGCAAACAAAACCCAGGTTTTACTGTGCTCAATGGCATAAGAGAAATGCTAATAATGCTGGAGCATTAAGCTCACGGGGGCAGAAACTCAACTCTGCATGATGAACGTGCTCTTCTTTCTGAGAGGCTGCCACAGACATCTTCTTCCCACAGAGCAGGAAGTGTGCATTCATTACCCCATATCTCTTTATAGGATATTCTGATTATTTGATGCTATGTTCTTAACCTAGGCTACATAATCCAGTCCTTCATTATATCAGTATACAATAGTACTTTTATTTATTTATTAGTTTACTTTTTGGCAACACTGGGGTTTCAACTCAGAGCCTTGCACTTGTTAGGCAGTGCCACTTGAGCATGTCTCCAGTCTTGCTGTTTTAGTTATTTTTATTCATATTTTTTAATATATGGAATGCTTCATAAGTTTGCAAGTCACCCCTGTGCAGGGGCTGTGCTAATCTCTGCATTGTTCTGCCACAGCAAGGACACTTTATTTTTGAGATTGGGTCTCACGTTTATGTTTGGAGTGGCCTGGACCACAATCCTCAGCATAGCTGAGAAGACAGGCCATACCCAATTTTTGTTATTTCAGATGGGGTCCTGCTACCTTTTTGCCTGGGCTGGCGTGGAACCACAATCCTCCTGATCTCTACCTCCCAGGTAGCTGGGATTATAGGCATGAGCCACTGATGCCCAGCTATAATTCTGCCTTTAATGTGGCTACTTTTATAGAGAGTGAATGTCAACTCTCTAACATGTGTCATCTTTCCCTTATTCTGTCATCATCATTATCCACTCAGTTTTCTTTTTTTTTTTTATGGTACTTGCGTTCTACAAAGTCTCCATGCACAGTGTTAGTGACACTGAGCCATTGTCCTAGGGGAAATACAAGGCTAAGTTCCTTCAAGTCTCTGGTTAGAACATTTTTGTGAACCAATCAATAGATTGTTTAGTGTGTTTCTGCTTAATGGCACCCTATTTAATATATAGTAGAGTCATTGACACTGAACTCGTAGTCTAGACAAAGCTTATCTAACACAAGTATTTTCCCTGCAACACCTCAGCACTGGTCTTGAGATGATTTATAACTTTGAAATTACCAAAAAAAGCACAGTGATATGAAGAATGTGCCATTAAGTAGGCTGCAAAAGGACACCTGTTTACAACGTGAGAGTTGAAGCTGAGGCAGAGCCTCATTCTACCTCAGCTGGAAAGGTGCTCACTCAAGGACTACCATTTTCACTGCATGAGCTATCTACAACAGTGCCGTAAACTCTGATTTTAGAGGGAGCAAAATCAGCTAGGAGTTGGATACACCCAGGTTGATTTGAGTAAAAAAGACATGGAAGAAGAAAAGATAAGAAAATGTGTGTGTGTGTGTGTGTGTGCGCGCGTCTGAGAGAGAGAGAGGGAGGAGAGAAAGAGAGAGCGAGAAATGCCCAAGGGAGAGAGATTACATGTAACAATATGGATAACGCTCAGCAATGTCGTGGTAAGTGAACTACTAATTCTTCCAAGAATATATACAAACACGTCACTTCTGCCATGTTCTTGCCAAAAATGCATCACCTAAATTCAATGGAAAGGAAACATCGGGAGAACCCAAAGCAAGGAACATTAATAAAATGCCAGGAACTGAGAAGCAAAAATAGCACACATTCTTTTTTTTTTTTTCTGTTTCAAATTCTTTATTATACATCATGGTTGCACAATTTGAGGCTAGTTAAATACAATTGCTTTTCAAAATCTCTTTTGAGTGTTTTCTAGATTACTACATGCAAGTGACCTTGAATATATTTGGTATTTTTAAAATTTGAAACTCCGAACAGGCACTTACATGAAGGAAAACATTATCATTTATAGATATACACATTTAAAACAGATATTCCAGTTCCTGGTACCTGGAACCTTTGGCCAGTAAAGAAGTTGGTTACTATTTTATCAAAGTGCCACAGTAGTAAAACAGGTTTAAAGAAATGTAATTTGCATTATTTAGCTTACTCGTAAGGTAAAGTTAACTGACAAAACTTGCACTAAAGTGTATTAAAAAATACTGGTACAAAAATCAATGAACCATAATTGAAAGTCTTTCCCACATAGTAGGCTTCATTCTGGTTCCCACAGTCCATGTTTAGTGTATGTGCAGTCAGACCCTAGATGAAGGAGTGGATGACTACAGCCTTCTTTTTTTATAGACATTGAACAAATTTAGTGTTTAAAAAAACAAATAAAATAGAGTGGGTGAAGTTTAAATGTGATTTTGAGCTAGCCAAAGTTCTAGATGGCAAACATGAAATTGTCCAGGTTTAGATAACTACATATGCTTCACAGGTCCCCGAGTCTACCATTCCCAAATTTTCTACTGAAAACAATACATCTGAAAAGTCAAGAAAATGGTATTTGCATACAGGTGGCAAAAACATTTCTAAAATAAAAAAATACACATTTCAAAATATTTATGGAAAAATTATAGTTTTAGTAAGTTTTAAAATGCCAACATGTGTCACCTCCACAGTGTAACATATATGGTGGTACCGCTGGGAAGTAGTAGCAAAATGCTTACTTAAGATGGGGGTGAAAAAGAGGGCTACAATGATATGCCACATGATCCCTTGGGAAACAAAATTTAATATGCCATAGAAGATTTTAAAGAGGAATCCATGAAATGGTAGACACAGAAACACCTACAGTGAAACACTCCATATACATTTCTGAAATGCATATGTAAAAAAATACAATTCTCAAAACTATTGCAAAGGCATGTTTTAAATCTCTGCAGGATGTAAGAGCCACTCAGGTTTTCTAATTTTATCTGAACACAAATATTTAATTTTTTGCATGTAGCGAATAAGAGGTAATCATTAGCATGAAAAAAGAAGATATACAATCAACATTATGCAGAAAGAAAGCAAAATTACAAATACCAGCCTCCTCACATGAAAATCTTTAATGTTTATGCTGCTGCATATCTGAGTGCTTATCAGTGTGCAGTTAAAAAAAAAGGCAGCTTAAGAAATCTCCAGTGTTTCAAAGAAAGCACTTTTTAAAATGTATATACATGAAGAACATTTATACTATAAAATAAATGCAGCACTGTAAGATAAAGGAAGAATATTATATATGGAATTTTGGCCTTCCCCCTGCCCCCTGCATGCTGCAATCATCTTTAACCTGCTGAACTTTATCTCAAAGATTACAGTTTTTTGTTTTTCTTGTTTTTTCCTATTCAGTTCACATTTCAGGCTGTTCAGCAGATGCCTGTGAGTCTGGAGATTCAAATCGCTGGTGAAAGTTTGTTCTCTGTTTCCTCAGTTTTTCAGGAGCTTTTTGCCACAAAATAATCTCCTGTTGTTTGAAGTACCTTCTGTCTTCCTCATCAACAAGCACTAGATTCAAAAAATACCTTACTGAAAATTTTTGGTTCACATCTCTCATTGTTGGAGTTGGGTCAAATCCTGCTAAAAACAGTCTTATTGGAATGCATTCACCTTTAACTGGTGCACCATCCATTATTTCATATTTGGCAATTGTTTCTGTTTTTGTTGTGGTACTGGGTCCAATTCCTGTGATCTCTTTTTTGATCAGTTGTAACTCCATGTGTTGTATTTTTATTCTTACTAATAAAAAGTAAATTTTTCCAACAATCACATCCTTTAAATGATACTTTGATTTGTTATATCCAAACTCTATATGTAGATAATCTTCAATGCCCACTTCCATCTTAATAGAGTTATTAACATCAGGATAGGTGGCAAGTTGATGAACAATAAGATCATACTCTTTCACCATGTCTGTAAGTCTTCTCACTATTGTCACCTTAAGAAAATACCTCAAGCGGACATTGGCACCAATGTAAGATTCATATGGCTTTTCAACTTGCATAAATTCAAAATCATAACTTCTGCTCTGAGTCAGTTCTCCAGGTAAAGCTAGTTCTTTCACTAGGTTTACAAATTCGTGAGTATTACTTTTCTCATTGAAAAGTTCAATTTGACCTACAAATTCAATTCTAATTCCTTGGTGCTCTAGCCTCTTTCCAGGTTGTTTAAAGGCTAGGTTTACCTTTCCTGAAACAGATTCTCCATCATAGAAGAGATAGTGTTTTTCTACTTTACCATCTTCAGTTTTCATTTCTGCTATTTTTCTGGTTTCCCCATCATTAAGGACAACATTGATCTCACAAATGGGACCAAAAAAACCTCCAAGAAAACTCATTGTCAGCGTCACCACCGTGTCCCCACCACTTCGCACCTCTTCCCTCAGGAGAACTCCCAGCCCCGCTCAGCACACATTCTTAACAAGAAGGTCATGGGGAGTGAAGGAAACCTGAGGGATGGTTTCGGATTAGCGGGGACTAAGGAGACACAACACAGCTGAACACACCCTGTGGTTCTGGATCTAACTGAAAAACCGCTGTCTACAGGACAGCGGGAGAACTGGTAAAACTTAAAACCACAGAACATAGATAGGCGTCAATGCTACGTGCCTGTTTTGTGCAGATAGAAGAGAATTGCCTTGTTCTTAGGAAACACATACTGGTGTATTAAGGAATTAAGCGGCAACATGCATTTGATCTCTTTTCAAATGCTCTGGACAATGACATGTATGTATATGTACACATATGTATGTATATGTGCAGGTATAATGTATGCATCAGAAAGCCGCAGGAGAGTCCTGTGTTACTATTGCAACTTTTCTGTAAGTTTGCATGTATTTCAAGATAAAAGCCAGCTGGATGCACATCTGTAATCCCAGGACTCAAGAGGCTGAGGCAGGAGGATCCCAAATTCCAGGCCAGCCTAGGGTACATAGCGAGACCATGTCTTAATCTGCCTCCCCAAAGATAAAAAGTAAAAAGAATTCTGTAAGATAAGGCTAAAACCAAAAAAGGACGAATAGCACTATACCTTTTCATAAGTTAAAAGATCTAGAGTAGCTTACCTAGAATGGAGGAGATGGATGGAAAGAAACTACAAAGGAAGGAGGCCTGGAGCAAGGGTTCAGTCTGATGGTTCCTGGGAGGGAGCTGGGAAGCACCAAATGGATCTCAGTAGGAGCAGCCCAGATCTGGTTTTGCTTCATCGGTTGTTGGGTTCACCGGAGCTCATTACATTATCAAAGACAAGTAATTAGAAAAAAACCACAGAAACTAAAGAAAGAGGGCTGCGCGTGGCACCTGGAGGAGTGTCGTGAAACACATACTATTCGGTTTTTTTTATCTGAGGGCAATAAAAAAATGGGGAGTGAGAGAAAGAGAGGGGGCAGAGAAAAGGAGAAAAATGAGGAAATGGAGATGCCTGAGATCTTTTGAAGGAAAAATAAAAATGAAATAACTAGAGAGAACAGTCTGAACAAACAAGTGAGGAAAGACAACCACATTGCCTGGAGACAAAAATGGATTGGGGACCAGTCGATTGGCTCAGGTGGTAGAGCGCCTGCCTAACAAATGTGAGGCCCTGAGTTCAAACCCCACTCATTACTGCCAAAAACAAACAAACAAAAACAGTGGATGGGAAGAGGCTCAAAGACAAGAGCTGGAATGCTGCAGCAGAAAAAATCTAAACGGTATTTGTGAGCCACAAGATGGACACTCTGTCTCCACAGAAGAGTGTCAGCCAAAGGGCTGGATTCCAGGAAAGGGTGGTGTGGTTAAACAGCACACCAAGGCTGGCCTAATGCAAGGCTGACACTTAGCCAGTCGGGGTTTTCCAACAACTTGGAGTGTTGTGGTCACGTCTGGCTTCTTCAATACTCCAGGCTATTAATTAGGAGGAACCACGAGATTAACCCGTAGCCATAATCACCTATGATGAGGGCTTATGTACAGATGCTTGTTGTGGGTAGCTGAGGGGACTCCTGGGAGCCGCCATCTTGTTTCCGCCCTGCTGGTGCCTGTGTGGGAAGGAATGGGAGCAGGCAGGGGACACGGGGGCTTTGCAAAGTGCAGATGTGCTTGTCAAGGAAACTGGTCACTTCTAATTGCTCCAGGCACAAATGATTGGCCCGGTCAGCAGTAAAATGACCAAAATAGGTTAGAAACGATGAAGTGGCCTGGGGCATGGCAGTTTGTCAAAACTTCTGATTTTCTCTATGGCTTTTGCAGACAGAAACACCACAAATAAGCCAACCAATCAAAGTGCCTCTGCTGGAGGGGTGACCGCCACTGCTGGATGATTCAGCGGTCCTGGTGGAGGAAAGAGAAGACCTCTGTCATCAGCTCCCACCTGCCTGCTAGACTTTCCTGTGGCTGTCCTAACCCAGAATGTGCTCCTGTCCTCCTGAGCTAATCCCAGCTGCCTGAATAAACAACACTTTCCTTCCCCCCTTTTCTGAAGGTAAAAGCTTACTTCGTTGATGGGAGATTTCTCTTTTAAATACAGACATGTACATATAATTTCCGTTAGCACTGCTTTAGGTGACATGTTGGGTCTTTATTTCCCTCCATCTCAGACTATTCTAAATTCCCTTGTGATTTCTTCTTTGACCCACTAGTTATTAAGAAAGTGGTGTTTAGGGCTGGGGTTGTGACTCAAGTGGTAGAGCACCTGCCTAGCAAGTGTGAGGTCCTGAGTTCAAACCCCGGTACCACAAAAAAGTCTGTTTTTAAAAATTTTCCAGGATTTATATCTGTTAATATCTAACTTCATCCCATTTAGGTGAAGAACGTTCTTTGCATAGTATAAGTCATTTTAAACTCACTGAGGCTTCTTTTCTGGCTTGGCATCTGCAAAACGTGGGGAATGGCCCACGTGTGCTCCGAGGGTGCCTTGTGTTGTGTGCCGGCTGTTCTGTTGACGAGTTAGGTCTAGTTAGTTTGTGGTACTTTTCTTGGTCAGTTTGGGTTGCTGTAACAAAATTTCACAGAGTGAGTAGCTTGTAAATAACAAGTTATTTTCTCACAGTTCAGGAGCTAGATGTCTGAGGCCTGATTCCTTGCTGTACTCACATGGCTGTGGAGGATGAGGAAGCTCTCTGGAGTCTTCTGTGGGAAGGCACTGGTCCCTTCAGAGGGCTTTCCTATTAGAGCACAGGGACCACCCAGGAGCCCCACCTCCTAATACTGTCCTGCTGGGTTATGGTTATGACACAGGAAATTTAGGCGGATACAAACATTCAGCACACTGCAGTGTTCTCAAGTTTTTCATTTGCTTCTCTTTTTGATCTTCTGCTGCTCATTCTATCCATTATAGAAAGTGGGCATTCAAGTCTTCAGCTCTTCTTGCTGATTTGCCTGTTTCTTCCTCCCAGTCTGTGAGGTTTTGGTTCAAGTGGAAGAGGCACGAGAGCCTCTGCATGAACACCGTCATGCTGACAACTTGAATTTTGAGGAGAACACAGTTAACCATACCCAGCACCATTGTTCTGCCTTTGATTGGGTTGTTTGGACCCTTTATATTTAATGTGATCACTGATAAAGGTGGAGGTGGCGCCTGCATTTTGCTGTTTGCTACTTAGGTCCTTTCTGTTCTGATTTCCCATCATTGCTGCCTTCTGTGTTAAACAGAAATTTTTAGTATTCCATTTAAATTCTCTTGCTTTTGTTCATTTTACTATATTTGTGAGTTATTTTCTTAGCAGTGATCTAGGGATTATTTAAAACATAACTTATTGGAAACACAGGAAGCCACGAATAGCCAAGGCAATACTCAGTCAAAAGAACAATGCAGGAGGTATCACAATACCTGACTTCAAACTATATTACAAAGCAATAACAATAAAAACAGCATGGTACTGGTACAAAAACAGACATGAAGACCAGTGGAACAGAATAGAGGACCCAGATATGAAGCCACACAACTATAACCAACTTGTCTTTGACAAAGGAGCTAAAAATATACGATGGAGAAATAGCAGCCTCTTCAACAAAAACTGCTGGGAAAATTGGTTAGCAGTCTGCAAAAAACTGAAACTAGATCCATGTATATCAAAATGGATCAAGGATCTTAATATCAGACCACAAACTCTAAAGTTGATACAGGAAAGAGTAGGAAATACTCTGGAGTTAGTAGGTATATGTAAGAACTTTCTCAATGAAACCCCAGCAGCTCAGCAACTAAGAGACAGCATAGATAAATGGGATCTCATAAAGCTAAAAAGCTTCTGTTCATCAAAAGAAATGGTCTCTAAACTGAAGAGAACACCCACAGAGTGGGAGAAAATATTTGCCAGCTACACATCAGACAAAGGACTGATAACCAGACTATGTAGGGAACTTAAAAAATTAAATTCTCCCAAAACTAATGAACCAATAAAGAAATGGGCAAGTGAACTAAAGAGAACTTTCTCAAAAGAAGAAATTCAAATGGCCAAAAAACACAGGAAAAAATACTCACCATCTCTAGCAATAAAGGAAATGCAAATTAAAACCACACTAACATTCCACCTCACCCCTGTTAGAATAGCCATCATCAGCAACACCACCAACAACAGGTGTTGGCGAGGATGGGGGAAAAAGGAACCCTCTTACACTGTTGGTGGGAATGTAAACTAGTACAACCACTCTGGAAAAAAGTTTGGAGGCTACTTAAAAAGCTAGACATTGATCTACCATTTGATCCAGCAATACCACTCTTGGGGATATACCCAAAAGACTGTGACACAGGTTACTCCAGAGGCACCTGCACACCCATGTTTATTGCAGCACTATTCACAATAGCCAAGTTATGGAAACAGCCAAGATGCCCCAGCACTGATGAATGGATTAAGAAAATGTGGTATCTATACACAATGGAATTTTATGCAGCCATGAAGAAGAACGAAATGTTATCATTCGCTGGTAAATGGATGGAATTGGAGAACATCATTCTGAGTGAGGTTAGCCTGGCCAAAAGACCAAAAATCGTATGTTTCCCTCATATGTGGACATTAGATCAAGGGCAAACACAACAAGGGGATTGGACTTTGAGCACATGATAAAAGCGAGCACACAAGGAGGGGTGAGGATAGGTAAGACACCTAAAAAATTAGTTAGCATTTGTTGCCCTTAACGCAGAGAAACTAAAGCAGATACCTTAAAAGCAACTGAGGCCAATAGGAAAAGGGGACCAGGAAGTAGAGAAAAGGTGAGATCAAAAAGAATTAACCTAGAAGGTAACACCCACGCACAGGAAATCAATGTGAGTCAATGCCCTGTATAGCTATCCTTATCTCAACCAGCAAAAACCCTTGTTCCTTCCTGTTATTGCTTATACTCTCTCTTCAACAAAATTAGAAAT